TTATAACATTTGTATCATGTGTTTTTGGTTGATATTATTATTATTATTATACAGGATTTATATAGCGCCAACAGTTTGCGCAGCACTTTACAATATATATTCTGTGTCTGTCATTTAAAATACACCTATAGACCTTTAATTTCTTTGTAAGTGGGCAAACTTACAAAATCTGCAGGGAAAGGAAAAGGAAAGAAAGAAATTTCAGTATCCATAAAATAAAACTGTACATAAACTGCACACATCATTTTGAATGTTATTGAACAAGGTGAGCTAATTACTATATAAATGTCACTATATAAAAATACCACATACTGAAATTATATGCATAACAATGCTGTTCAGAAGTGACCCATAATTAAGGAACGTCTGTTTCATGAATTTCACCAGCTGCCCGCTATGTAACCCAAGAAGGGAACGTGCAGTCACCAATTGTGAAGGAGAAACCACTGCACTTCATCAAACTCACCAGAGTCAAATTAAAGAGCTGCAACTGAACGGAGGGGATAGATCACTTACCAAGGTCATATACAAAGACTTGCCACAACCTCATCCTGTATCTGAGAGAATCAATCTGAAAAAACTATGGTTAGTCTTTGGAAGCATAGGGTAGTTAACTTTCCCTGTGCTATAGGTGCGGTCATCACAGACATAGGTCAGTGTGAACATTGCTCCATTTACATTTAGTGTGTCTCCCTGCGGCACCGTATTCGCAGAGCAGTGTCTGTTCAGTTTATGTTTTTCCATAAAATGTACCAGGAAAAATCCATCACCGTCTAAAACAATTACGTTGTAAATGCAACTAACATTTCCAAAAATGTAAAAAAACCAAAAACTTTTCCATGAAGTTTTTTTTCTGGGTTACTGACCTTCATGCGCTCAAGGAGGCTTAAGAGTTGTCAAGGCTCATCTTCTGGCTAGACATCCAGGATGAAGCCTGTGCTAAAATATGTTTTGCCATGTTTAATTATTATATATGGGGGTCTGTTAGTCTTGATGCGAGCCCTGGAAGTATGAGCTAAATGTAGAGCTAAATGTAGAATAGGAGAAATTACTTGTTTCTTTACAAGTGTTCTCGGCGATGTCGCCGAGAACACTTGTAATCAGAGTGCCGGCCCGTCCTCCCCACGCCGCCCCCCTCCCTCCCCTGCACTTACCTCTCTCCATGCTGCATTCTCCCAGCTCCGGCTCCGTCCTCGCCTTCAGAATGGAGAGCTGTAAGCAGAGCGGCAGGGTTAAAAGTAACCCTGCCGCTCCGTGTAGACAGTGAGAGGGGAGAGCTGTACCCTCCCCCCTCCATGGTCTGCCCCCATCTCCGGCTGCCTCTGTCCCCCCAGCTGCCTCCCTCCCCGACGTGGTTTTTGGGGTCCCTCTCTCTTCTGGGGGACCCAGAACCACTGCAGAGTAGTTCAGGATGGAGAGCGGTGAGCAGAGCGGAGAACAGGACAGCCAGCACAGTGCTGTGCAAGAACTCCTGTATTGGAGGTGACAGGTTAAATAAAGAGACAAAAAATTAAAAAAAAAAGTGATTAAAAAAAAAAAAAACACATAAAAAAAATTAAAACCAACCCTGCAGCCCCCGCATTCCCTCGGCGGGGAAGGGGGGCATTGCCGAACCCGGCCTTGGGGCGGCAGGGATTGTAAATCCGGTCCTGGGGATGCCCTGATGTGATGTCATTAGATGACAGGTGTGGAGATTACACAGCATGGAAATACCAGCTGTATCTGTATTTATAGAAGATGAGAGAGCAGTTTTATCTTCACCAAATATAACATCCTTATAATAGATTCTAATCCCCCAATCCAGGGTGGTGTGGGGGACTTATAATAAATCAAAGCTCAAGAGTTATAATGAATTCTGCAAGCACAGTGCCAATTTTCAAAGTTCAACTTTAACAGGTTAACACCAACTTTATGAAGTAAAACTGACCTTTAAAGTGACACTAAACTCCTGAATTCAATCTTAAAAAAGAATTCAAGTACCCCAACTATTAACAAAAATGTATCTTATTTGTGTATCACTCGGCTGTAGATCCTCAAAATCCTCTGTGAATTGGTGCTGACACTGTCCTTCCTTCTGGAGGGGGGCTACTTTTCCTCCCCATGGTCCCTGTGTGTGTGTTGTACAGTAGCCACCAGTCCAAGCTCGCTCCCTGGATAGACCACGCTCTCAACACAAATTGGTAAGGCCCCGTTCACATATAGCGAATTGTCGCGCGATATCCGCCGCGATATCGCGCATTTTTGCCGCGCGATATCGCGAGAAGTCGCCGGCCAATGTTATTCAATGGAGCTGTCTTAACTCCATGTTGCGCGTCGCAAGTCGCTTCTACCGGACCCTTTTTTCGGCGGATTTTGCGCGATTTTGCTTTTTTTCTATGGAGCCCGACGGGGAAGGTCGCGCTACCGTCGCTGGATCGTCGCCCCGAAAGTCGCGCTATCCCGGCCGTGCGGATCCGCTGCAAAAGGTATGTCGCTATATGTGAACGGGGCCTAAACTAAACGTGCAACTGTACTCCATCACGGGAGCGAGCTTAGGCTGCATTCACACATAGCGTTTGCGGTTACCACGCGGTTTTCCGCACGGGACGAAAAATTTATTCAATCCGCGCGGACGGCGCTCATTTGCAGCTAATAGCCGCAAACACGTGGAATCCGCCGGATTATCGCGCTCTCTCTGGGCCAACACGGTTTTGTGCCGCACAGTCCCCGCAATGGTGTGAACGATGCACATTGAGGTGGATTGTTTTTTGTGTTTAGAGTGGCACCGTGCGCATACAGCCGAATACACGCGGACAGCAGCTCAGGTGTGAATGGAGCCTTAGGGTTAGGGTACTTGAATGATTCTTAAGATTTACTCGTGAGTTTAGTGCCACTTTAAAACCAGACTAAAACAGATTTTAGAGAGTAAAATCTACTACAGCGATTAAAAACGACCAGTTTTCCAGTTAAGGGGGACAAGTATCTAAAAACCCTCACAATGTTACTTGTAGCTCCTCAGTGGGGTGAAGAAACTCGCCCTTGCTACAAGAGATAAATATAATTCAATAACCGACAAGCAATTGAGAATTCTACACCTAGTAATATATTTCTAATGGATTTAAATGCAAATTATTTTGATATTGTAAAAACATTTTTAAAATTATAAATAACCACCAATTACGCCTATCTCAGGATGCAAGAGAACCCCTCCCACGGCACTGCAAGGGTTAGCTGCTCATTTTTTGTTTAAAAGGGGGATTCTTTCAGTTCTACTTTCCTCTGCTCTGGCATGTCCCTTGCATTAAACGTGATGATTCCAGGGGGCCTCTAAACAGCGAAGTCGAGGAGGGAAGCAACTGCAGGTACTACACATTTGCTTTCATTGTCTTTTTTCACAAACCTGCAAGCTTTCCTACTATCTTTTTCCACTGAGATTTGGAACAATGCCCTAGATGTATAGATCCAAAAACGTCATGTCTACACTTAAATATGGATTTTGAACCCGACTGTCTGCAGACCTTCATCATCATAGATTCCATGCAGGGCACTGAGGTCTACATACCAACAGATCGACAAAGAATACAATTACATTTATGGCCCACCTAAGTGTGGACCTGCATTACCATTAGAACTTGCCTCCAAGAACCTATAGAGAACTAACTACACATCTCCTCCTCATTCCCTTCTCTGTCACTGTATGGGCCTACCTAACCACTGGAACAGATGGTGTAGGTTCCAACTAGGAAAAATGCCATCCTAGATTTAATAATTACTAATAATGGGGAATTAATAGAGGATATTGTAGAGGATATTGTAATTGGGGAGACACTGGGTAGTAGTGATCACAATGTGATTACTTTCAATATTAAACACAGGAAAGGAAAGAGGGCGGGACGGACAAGAACCCTTAATTTCAGAAGGGCAAACTTCGATAAGTTGCGCAAACTAGTGGGGGAAATAAAATGGGATAACTCATTTCACAACCTAAACTCAGACCAAATGTGGGACTGCTTCAAGAACACATTACATAAAACTGGAAAACTACATGTTAAGGCAAAGAGAATGGCATTTATAAAATATAAGATGGAAGAGACGGCATTGGCGTTCCTTAAATACAAGGAATGTAACAAAAAATGCAAACTAGTAATCCAGGAAGCTAAAATAGAATGCGAAAAGCATATCGCCGCAGATAGTTAAAAAAACCCTAAAAAATTCTACCAATATATTAACAGTAAAAAAGGTAAGAAAGGAGCAGATAGGCCCAATAAAGGACGAAAACGGGAAGTTACTCACAAGTGACAAGGAGAGGGCCGAGGCGCTGAACAATTTTTCTCCTCAGTATACACCTAGGAGGGAAACGGGTTCGACGTACGCGATAAAATACATAGTTCAACCAATAATATACCACAATGGTTGACGGAAAGCGGAATAGAACATAGACTTAAAATGCTCAATGCAAATAAAGCAGTTGGACCAGATAACCTTCACCCCAAGGTACTTAGGGAACTAAGCCAAGTTATAACAAGACCATTATTCCTAATTTTTAAGGAATCCTTAGTGACTGGTAGGGTACCATGTGATTGGCGGAGGGCTACGGTAGTTCCAATATTCAAAAAGGGGGCTAGATGCCAACCAGGGAACTATAGGCCGGTCAGTCTAACATCGGTAGTTTGTAAACTGTTAGAAGGTATAATTAAGGACTATTTGGTAAAATTTGTTAAGGATAAAATGTCCTTGAACTGGAGAGAGTCCAGCGGAGGGCAACAAAACTAATTAGGGGAATGGAGGACCAGAGCTATGAGACAAGGCTTCTGACCTTAAACATGTTTACGCTGGAATTAAGGAGATTAAGGGGGGATATGATTTTCATGTACAAGATGTTCAATGGTGACAGCAACATTGGCAACAAACTGTTTGAGATTAACTCCATTACGAAGACTAGAGGCCACCACCTAAAGTTGGTGGAGAAAAAATTCCAGCACAATGGGCGAAGAGGGTTCTTTACAGTAAGAGCGGTTAAGGTCTGGAACTCACTGCCATCGGCAGTGATTTCAGCCAAGAGTGTAGATTTGTTCAAGAAACGTTTGGGTAATTTCTTGAGGGACCGTAATATCCAGGGATACCAGTATCCCTAAGAATGAGATGATGCGTGGACCTATATGGGTTGGACTTGATGGACGCATGTCTTTATTCAACCCCAAATACTATGTAACTATGTAACCATAACCCACTGAGCAGGTTGTACTATAGCGCCAGAAATTCTATGTTGCGGACCTGGAATATAAAATAGATGTCCGACTGGCTGCGGTGTACATCATGTAAGGTGAAAGATGCAACAATAACCAACACTATGGCCTTAAAGGAGAACTATGGGGTCAGTGCTTTTCCCCATAGTTATCCTAAGGGTAACGGGAGGACACAAACTAGCGTCCTCCCATCACCCAAAGCTCAGTATACCGCGAGCTACAGCTCGCGGTATACCGAGACACCGAAGGCGGAACGGATCCCGACAATGCTGTCTGGATCCACCCAACTGCGCGAGTGCCAGCTGGCTCTGCCTATCTAGAGGCAGAGCCAGTGGTACCAGCCCCCTCCCCCGTCCGTTCCACCAGTCAGCGCTGGAAAATCTGACAGGGGAGGGGGGAACCCCTGCAGGGACCTGTGAGTGACAGTCACAGCTCTCCGCACTGATAAATCGAGAAGTCAGCGACGGTATGTGTTCGCTCACTTCCCGATCTACTGAGCTGACCTGTGACAGTTTCATTGTCACAGGTCGGCTCAGATTATGAGGCTGAGTGAAAAATCACTCCTCATAATTCTCCTTTAATGTACTAAACTATACAATCATTTTTCATCAAAAAATTCACTTCTTAAAAGGAATATTTTACAGCTGTGCAATTATTCTTTTCCATGCAAAACATTGGGCTATTTATAGAAAGCATTTATTTCTCATGAACGGATGTCTCATCCTTCATGAAACAATAATAATTCCCCAAATTGCTGTTCTTCTACATAGCACACTTTGGCTGGCTTAATTCTTTACTCTCCTCTTGAAATTACGTATCAAAACGAATGTGATAATTCTGGTGAATGGACAATGACATACGCTTACCTCATTAACCAATATAAACGAGAAAGGAAATAAGTACAGCAAACAAGCCTGACCCATTTCATAAAAGCTGCTGCCAGTTAGAAATCAAATGCGTCAAAAAGTTAACCACATACAAACCTTACCACTATATGCACCTTACTCTGACTGGACACCCACCTTACCGCCACCACACACAGACCCACCTTACAGCTACCGCACACCCACCTTACCGCCACCATGCCTAGACACCCTTTTCTGCCACCACACACCCACTTTACTGCCACCGCACACCCATTAACTCCCCTCCCAGGCATCTGATTCTGCCAGAATCCTATAAAAGTGCATTTTAACTGAAACAGTTAATTATGGTTATGTGTACTTGGCGATCACAATCTTTTATCCATACATCTGAGTAGGCAGACCAGTGAAATACATTTTCTGATTGGCAGGCTTGAGTAACTGCATTCTGATTTACTTCAATAAATAAGGCCATGTGTTTCCCATGAGTAATTCCTATATTAAAAACAAAAAGGTAATCTCATATAGGTACATTTTTTTGAGGAACTCCCTCTGGGTGTTCTATATACATTGCAAGGATTTTAATAGAAAAACGATTACATATCCCTATCTTTTTCTGTTCTGAAAAAGTTGTTTTACCATGTCCTTCCCAAGCCGATTTCTGAATGAGAGGGGCCGATTTATTATAACCACGTGGTAAAATATCGGGGTTCAACATAATTAAATCACATTTTCAATGATTCCCATTCATACATGAGCGATGTGTTGCTTATAGCTTATGAAAAGTACATGAGCTGTCAATGAGCTAGACTTTAATGGGAGTGCCTGAAAAAGATGCACAACGCATGTTTACATCATTTCATGACCAGGAACCATCTGCTCCTCCTGAGTAATCAAATTGGTTGAAACAAAAGAGCTCAAGTCTGAAAAAGTCATCAAAAAACAGCTTCAAAATCACCGGTCAACAAAACCGAAATTTCTATTACAGAGAATGCTAAAAATTTGACTTATCTTATTGAAGATGTCTGGGAAAATCTGTGCACCCATCACACAAACAGGAAATGGCATTTCTGGGGGCATGCCATACACCAACATTGTACAGAACACCTCCAGGCTAACACATTGCATTGGAATTAGAAAGGTCATTTTTAATAACAAATTACAATATGGCATGTGTAGCAATTGTATATATTTTTCTTGTTTTAAGTAAAGTGGAGTTCTCCTTTAAATGCTTGCTGTTCTTACTATGGGGACACCAATCATTTCCTGTTACTTAGAAATTGAGAAGCTTGCAGTGGCCTGCTACACAGACGACATCTAAACATTTATTTTTTTTTTTTTAAATATGTCTTACCTTTTACTATATGTGTGAAAAGGAACATAACATATAAATGAGGTTTTCTCATAATTGACTGGAAAAGACTAAATGTTAAGTAAACACTACAGACAATAGATCAACTATTACTTTACTTATTTACTCTCAAATTAATCTTTTTTTTTTTTTTAAAGCCAAAATACTTGAGAACGATATTTATGTTGTATGTGAAATTTAATGACGCAAAGAGCAATATGCAAACCAGTTGAATGGAAAACATATCATTAAATTGACTTCAAGTGCCTACAGAAATATATGAGATTAAGATGTAAGTAGCTACACATCATTTCTCTTTGCAGTACTATTCCGTAGCAGGAAACACCACCAGCCTGACGAGAGGTCATTTTACAAAGGGGCTCTATTGCCCTCTGCTGTCTATACAGTATACATGGAAGCCACAAACTTTCCTACAAGCAGGCTATGTTAAAGTTTACATATACTTAGCAAAATAGTGTTCAGTCTACATAGTGAATAGCAGGCCCAATAGACTGCCAGAATGCACAATACTTGTCACAGTCAGACTGCCGAGGCTAGGTTCACACCATTTTCCGGACCAGATCTGGACCAAATCTGTAAAACGGTGCATTGCGTTTTGCCGCATCCTGGAGCGGGGTTTTTTTTTTTGCTTAAAACGGGCATTCAAGTGCTGTCCAGTGCGTTACCATGCATTTTAATTTGTCCCAGGGCATTGTAGACCAGAGAAAATCTGACAAGCTTTTTTTGTCTCATCCGGAATAAACTGCTCTGTGTGAACAGAGCCCAGAAATACTATAGGGATACATTGGGATGCTTTTTTGGTCTGGGAACAAACTGTTCTGGTCTGGACATGATCCAGACATGGGGTGAACAAGCCCTCTAGCCCTGCAAGAGCTGCAAGAGGATGATACAAAGTCAAATTAAAAAAATCTCCACCAAACGTGACAGCCAGCCAAAACCTTTTTTCTTCATTTTACATTTACAAGTATTAGAACCAGATGGCTTTGACTGCCATCTGCGGCACCATTATAGAGACTTACCCTCACTTCCTGTCCAACTGACAACGTTCTACTATCCAAAAAGTGAGGGTACCTCTGCAACAGCAACACAGAAAGGAATAGCAGAACCCTTGCTGGCCTTCCCTGAAGCTGACACCACCAGTGCTGCAGAGAGCCAAACCACCCTTAGCTCCAAAACATTGATGGACTATCTTGACCACTTTGTGGTCATTGACCTCAGCACACACCCCCAGCCCAGGAGGCTGGAATTGGTTAGGATTATCCACTGCAGTGGGAAAAAAAAGGACTTCCCTGTCTCAGACGGACTGGAGAGCCACAATGCAAGCCTCACCTTAGCTGTCAGGTGCGCAGGCTAATCCAGAGAGTAGATACGTTTGTTCTACGCAGGGAGAATACTCAGCTGAAATAGTCTGGAGTGAAACTGAGCAAAGTGAACGCTCATAAAGAAGGCCACCATTGGTCCCAGGGCTTTCATGCAGCATTGCAGAACGTGGAACAGGTAGCCCACAACATAGAAACCCTGCGAGCACAATAGTGCAAGAACTGGAGCCAACATTTGTGTGGATACCTCTGGGCCATGAAGAGGCCAAAGGGAAGTGCCATGATTTGGAAATGTTCCTCCCCCCAATGCCAGTATGGGACATATTCCTCCGTTCGGTTTTGAAACCATAAACAGGTTGGAGTAAAAGCGCCAAAAGCACTACTGTGCCAGAACAGGTGGCATATGGCCCCTAAAGTAAAAAGTTGTTGCAAAGCCTGTAGAGCTTCTGCCTGCAGGGAAGACAAGGTCCTGGCTGGAGGACAAACTGGGTGGTGTCCCATTTATTGTGTGGAGGGCCTGTTTCCTGCCATGTAAGGCTTAGGGGTCCAGGGCTTTGCCTTCGAGAAGGTGGCATGGGAGAGACAAAATAAACTCTTTCTACCCCGCACAGGAGCAGGCTTACTAGGAACCCTAGGTTTTCCCTTGCTGGACAAAAGCTTACTCATACCACCAGGTCACCCTCCTAATAAAGGCATCAAAACCTTCTCCATTGCAGATACGCCACTGCCCCGGACATACAGTATATAGCACCCTATGGCTAACCCAGTGCACTGCACTACTTTCAGTCCAGTGCCCAAAGATAGAAAAAGTGAGGCTGGCCTGTAACGTATCTCAAAAAAAGTGGGAGACTATGGGGTAGAATCGGATTTATCAATACTTTTTATTTCACCAAATGTAATATAAATCACCCTATATTAAGGTCAGTCACAGTTCCAGAGTGTCACTTCAAAAATATTTGTAAAGCACATGAAAGTTCCCACTTTTTTGGAAATCAATGGAAGATGTGAGATCTGATCTTTATTAAATACAATAGCTACAATAGATTATTAGTGCTTATACCTACATTGTCCCCCGTATGACTACCAAAATGTTACTACTCCAAGTAAGGAAAACAGACTTTGTGCATATCAGGACTTCTAACAGTACAGGCAAGGAACCAGAGGCAGTTACTGGGGATCATATGACGGTGCAAGTTACATAATTGTGCCTTTGCATATGTTTCCAGATTAACACATATGTTCCTAGTACTGTTATGTGTCCTGGGGTGTTTCTGCGGTAAATCACTCTGTTGCATAACTCTGCACTACAGAGGTCAACGGTCCTCCACATAATATCAGAGATGGATCCCTATAGCTTAGTATGCCACATTCATGACTCGCATCCCTGATTGGCTTGGAAGTCGGCTTCACTTATTTCTAGGACAGCCTGGCTTCCTGACCAATCAGAAAGGCGGGCTGCAGGTCACCCGACTTTCTAATTGGCCAGGAAGCCAGGCGGCCTCGCACTGTTGCAGGAAAAGTGAAACTGGTGGTTCTTTCGATAAAACACCAGCTTCCCAGGTAATCAAAAAAAATAAATAAATATCGGTACTCGTACTCAATACCGAAAAGACTGTATTGGTGCATCCCTAGTTAAAACCCTGTCAGATTTTTATTTCTGTCTGTGTGCCAGTTGCAGATTTTCCCTTCCTTCCCGACAGCAGTAAAAACCAAACAAAAGTTCCTTTCCTTTCACACTCTATCCAAAATTAGTTTTGGATTGACATACACTGTACAATAAAGAAAAAGTATTTTAGGCAGGCAAGGGTAACCTACCCGTAGCTTCGGTATGAGATGTACTCTGTGTTTGGACCTATCTGATGAATCTGAATAACTGCAAAGTGTGTTTATGATCTTAAGGGTGAAGGAAAAATAGAAAAGTTTATTTCCATTATTCCCAGCAGAAGAGTGCTGAAAGGCTCTAAATATATGCACTGACACCCATTGATGCATTCTCATCATGGTGTACTGGAATGGGTAAAACCCTGGACTAAATATCCCTCGACTGTTTACTTACCCCCCTCTTTTAAAATATTTTAAAGAAATTTCTCTAGCAATAAACTGACACTGGATAATAAAGGATTACATTGTATAGTGCATGTGGAAATATGAACATGGTGAACAACAAGAGATGCAAATAATTTGATAACACTTAATTCAGTCCAGACAGATAATTACAATAATAAACTTGCAGACATCAAAACGAAAAATTACTAAAATTGACCACTAGATGTCACCAAAATATCAAGACTGAATTGCAAGGAATACACCTCATCATGTGCAATTGGAATTACTTTGTTTAACTCTTTTCTGCTGGCGGGATCCTAACACCATGGTTTCACGATCATGTGATCACTATGATTGGTGGCCCTACTGCCTCCCGATCATAAATCATGACAGAGCGGTCAGTAACAGCTCAGACAAATCAGTGGGGGGCACACAATTAAGCATGCTCCCAAACCAAGAGAAATAAGGAATGCCAGCTGTACACATGGGGCAGTACGTTGTTAAAGTCCACTGCTGTGCTGCTACATGTATCACTTGCCCCTCCCCTTTAGATTGAAGCCCTCACAGGCAGGGCTCTCCTTACCATCTTGTCTTGAATTGCGATTGTAATGTCTTCCTTGCATTGCAAAGTATAT